CGACTGTGCTTGACTTATGTATCAGCAGTGCTCGACCGTGCTGGAGGTAAGTTTCGACCGTGCTTGAGGTATGTATTAACAGTGCTCGATCATGCTGGAGGTATGTTTCGACCGTGCTCGAGGTATGTATTATCAGTGCTCGACCGTTGCTGAAGGTATGTTTCGACCGTGCTCGAGGTATGTATTAACAGTGCTCGACCGTGCAAAAGGTATGTTTCGACCTTGCTCGAGTTTTGTATTAACAAAGAACGACAGTTGCTGAAGGTATTTTTCGACCGTGCTCGAGGTATGTATTTACAGTGCTCTACCGTGCTGAAGGTGTGTTTCGACCGTGCTCGAGGTATGTATTAACAGTGCTCGACCGTGATCGAGGTATGTTTCGACTGTGCTTGACTTATGTATTAGCAGTGCTCGACCGTGCTGGAGGTAAGTTTCGACCGTGCTCGAGGCATGTTTTAACAGTGCTTGACCGTGCTGGAGGTAGGGTTCGACCGGGCTCGAGGTTTGTTTTAACAGTGCCCGACCGTGCTGGAGGTATGTTTCGACCGTGCTCGAGGTATGTATTAACAGTGCTCGATCATGCTGGAGGTATTTTTCGACCAGGCTCGAGGTATGTATTAGCAGTGCTCGACCGTGCTGTAGGTATGTTTCGACCGAGCTCGAGATATGTACCAACCACGCTCGACCGTGCAAAAGGTATGTTTCGACCTTGTTCAAGTTTTGTATTAACAAAGAACGACCGTTGCTGAAGTTATTTTTCGACCGCGCTCGAGGTATGTATTAACAGTGCTCGACCGTGATCGAGGTATGTTTCGACTGTGCTTGACTTATGTATTAGCAGTGCTCGACCGTGCTGCAGGTAAGTTTCGACCGTGCTCGAGGTATGTATTAACAGTGTTCGATCGTGCTGGAGTTTGTTTCGACCGTGCTCGAGGTATGTATTAACAGTGCTCGACCGTGTTGTAGGTATGTTTCGACCGTGCTCGAGATATGTATCAACAGTGCTAGACCGTGCAAAAGGTATGTTTCGACCTTGCTCGAGTTATGTATTAACAAAGAACGACCGTTGCTGAAGGTATGTTTCGACCGTGCTCGAGGTATGTATTAACATTGCTCGACCGTGCTGAAGGTATGTTTCGACCGTGCTCGAGGTATGTAATAACAGTGCTCGACCGTGATCGATGTATGTTTCGACTGTGCTTGAGATATGCATTAACAGTGCTCGACCGTGCTGGAGGTATGTTTCGACAGTACTCGAGGTATGTATTAACAGTGCTCGACCGTGTTAGATGTATGTTTCGACCGTGCTCGAGGTATGTATTAACAGTGCTCGACCATGCTGGGGATATTTTTCGACTGTGCTCAAGGTATGTATTCACAGTGATCGACCGTGCTGGAGCTATGTTTCGACCGTGCTCGAGGTATGTATTAACAGTGCTCGACTGTGCTGGAGGTATGTTTCGAACTCGCTCGGGTTATGCATTAACAGTGCTCGACCGTGCTGGAGGTAAGTTTCGACCGTGCTCGAGGTATGTATTAACAGTGCTCGACTGTGCTGGAGGTATGTTTCGAACTCGCTCGGGTTATGTATTAACAGTGCTCGACCGTGTTAGATGTATGTTTCGACCGTGCTCGAGGTATGTATTAACAGTGCTCGACCATGCTGGGGATATTTTTCGACTGTGCTCAAGGTATGTATTCACAGTGATCGACCGTGCTGGAGCTATGTTTCGACCGTGCTCGAGGTATGTATTAACAGTGCTCGACTGTGCTGGAGGTATGTTTCGAACTCGCTCGGGTTATGCATTAGCAGTGCTCGACCCTGCTGCAGGTATGTTTTGACCAAGCTTGAGCTATGTTTTAACAGTGCTCGACCTTGCTGGAGGTAAGTTTTGACCGTGATCGAGGTATTTTCTAACAGTGCTCGACTGTGTTGGAGGTATGTTTTGAACGTGCTCGAGTTATGTTTTAACAGTGCTCGACCGTGCTGGAGGTATGTTTTGACCAAGCTCGAGATATGTATTAACAAAGCTCGACCGTGCTGGCGGTATGTTTCAAACGTGCTGGAGTTAAGAATTAACAGTGCTCGACCGTGCTGGAGGTATGTTCCGAACGCGCTCGGGTTATGCATTAACAGTGTTCGACCGTGCTGGAGGTAAGTTTCGACCGCGCTCTATGTATGCATTAGCAGTGCTCGACCCTGCTGCAGGTATGTTTTGACGAAGCTTGAGCTATGTTTTAACAGTGCTAGACCTTGCTGGAGGTAAGTTTTGACCGTGATCGAGGTATTTTCTAACAGTGCTCGACTGTGTTGGAGGTATGTTTCGAAAGTGCTCGAGTTATGTTTCAACAGTGCTCGACCGTGCTGGAGGTAAGTTTCGACTGTGTTCAATGTATGCATTAGCAGTGCTCGACCGTGCTGGAGGTATGTTTTGACCAAGCTCGAGATATGTGTTAACAGTGCTCGACCGTGCTGGCGGTATGTTTCAAACGTGCTGGAGTTAAGAATTAACAGTGCTCGACCGTGCTGGAGGTATATTCCGAACGCGCTCGGGTTATGCATTAACAGTGTTCGACCGTGCTGGAGGTAAGTTTCGACCGTGCTCAATGTATACATTAGCAGTGCTCGACGTTGCTGGAGGTATGTTTTGACCAAGCTCGAGTTATGTATTAACAGTGCTCAACCGTGCTGGAGGTATGTTTCGAACGCACTCGGGTTATGCATTAGCAGTTCTCGACCGTGCTGGAAGTATGTTTTGACCAAGCTCGGGGTATGTATTAACAGCGCTCGACCGGGCTGTCGTTATGTTTCAAACGTGCTGGAGTTATGAATTAACAGTGCTCGACCGTGCTGGAGTTATGTTTCGACCGTTCTCGAGATATTTTCTAACAGTGCTCGACCGTGCTAGGTATGTTTCGACCGTGCCCGATGTATGTATTAACAGTGCTCGAACGTGCTGGAGGTATGTTTCGACCGTGCTCGAGTTATGTTTTAACAGTGCTTAGCCGTGCCCGAGGTAAGTTTCGAACGTGCTCGAATTATGTATTAACAGTGCTCAACCGTGCTGGAGGTATGTTTCCACCGTGCTCGGTGTATGTATTAACAATGCTCGACCATGCCGTCGGTTTGTTTTGACCGTGCTCGAGGTATGTTCCGACAGTGCTCGACCGTGCTGGAGGTATGTTTCGACCGTGCTCGAGGTATGTATTAACAGTGCTCGACCGTGCTGGAGGTATGTTTCGACCGTGCTCGAGGTATGTATTAACAGTGCTTGACCATGCTGGAGATATGTTTTGACCGTGCTCGAGTTATGCATTAACTGTGCTCAACAGTGCTGGAGATATGTTTCGACCGTGCTCAAGATATTTATTAACAGTGCTCAACCGTGTTGGAGCTATGTTTCGACCGTGCTCGAGGTATGTTTTAACAGTGCTCGACTGTGCAGGAGGTATGTTTCGAACGTGCTCGAGTTATGTAATAACAGTGCTCGACCAAGCTGGAAATATCTTTCAAACGTGCTCGATGTATGCATTAACAGTGCTCGACCGTGCTGGAGGTATGTTTTAACCGTGCTCGAGGTATATTTTAACAGTGCTCGACCGTACTGGAGGTAAGTTTTGACCGTGATCGAGGTATGTATTAACAGTTGCTCGACCGTGCTGGCGGTATGTTACAAACGTGCTTGACTTATGTAGTAACATCGCTCGACCGTGCTGGAGGTATGATTCGACCGTGCTCGAGGTATGTTTTAACAGTGCTTAGCCGTGCCGGAGGTAAAATTCGAACGTGCTCGAATTATGTATTAACAGTGCTCAACCGTGCTGGAGGTATGTTTCCACCGTGCTCGATGTATGTATTAACAATGCTCGACCATGCTGTCGGTGTGTTTCGACTGTGCTCGAGGTATGTTTCGACCTTGCTCGAGTTTTGTATTAACAAAGAACGACCGTTGCTGAAGGTATTTTTCGACCGTGCTCGAGGTATGTATTAACAGTGCTTGATCGTGCTGGAGGTACGTTTCGAACGTGCTCGATTTATACAATGACAGTGCTCGACCATGCTGGAGGTAAGTTTCGACCCTGCTCGAGGTATGTACTAACAGTGCTCGACCATGCTGGAGATATGTTTTGACCGTGCTCGAGTTATGTATTAACAGTGCTCGACAGTGCTGGAGGTATGTTTTAACCGTGCTCGAGGTATGTATTAACAGTGCTCGACCGTGCTGGAGGTATGTTTTAACCGTGCTCGAGGTATGTTTTAACAGTGCTTGACCGTACTGGAGGTAAGTTTTGACCGTATTCGAGGTATGTATTAACAGTGCTCGACCGTGCTGGCGGTATGTTTCAAACGTGCTTGACTTATGTATTAACATCGGTCGACCGTGCTGGAGGTATGTTTCGACCGTGCTCGAGGTATGTGTTAACAGTGCCCGACCATGCTGTAGGTATGTTTCGACCGTGCTCGAGATATGTAACAACAGTGATCGACCGTGCAGAAGGTATGTTTCGACCTTGCTCGAGTTATGTATTAACAAAGATCGACCGTTGCTGAAGGTATGTTTCGACCGTGCTCGAGGTATGTATTTACAGTGCTCGACCGTGCTGAAGTTATGTTTCGACTGTGCTCGAGGTATTTTCTAACAGTGCTCGACCGTGTTGGATGTATGTTTTGACCATGATCGAGGCATGTATTAACAGAGCTCGACCGTGCTGGAGGTATGTTTCGACCGTGCTCGATGTATGTTTCGACAGTGCTCGACAGTGCTGGAGGTATGTTTCGACCGTGCTCGAGGTATGTATTCGACCCTCTGCTGACATGTGCTCGACATTGAAAGTCGAAAAAACAAAGTGAAAAGTGATCACCTCGACTCTGGTATTTCTGTGACTTTTTACCTTTGGAGCGATAATAACTTCAATCTTGCAATTAACATTAATTAATTAAATGGCAAGTTTCAAGTTTGTGTGGTTTGCAAGTCAAAATCGGTCTTTGTTTTGTTTAGTTTGTCGGGAAATTATTGCCTTGGAAAAGACCATGCATTGCACCCAAAGAACACGCCTCCCCCTCGAAAATGCAGGGTACGTATTTCTCAGTCCTCATTGACACCCTTTGAATCCATTTTGGTATTCGGTTTTCCCACATGTTTTCCATAGCGTTTTTGCCCTTTGTATCTCATACACCAAACCCCCTTAAGAAATGTGCGAGGGGCAAAATATGCCAAGAAAATGAAAAGGGCGAGATAGGTGAGGGTCGAAACATGGTACATTTATCATATTCCCAGTTTTTTATAATAAATGACAATTACCTCACAATTATTGTACCAGATTATATTTCAACTGAACTCATGGTCCTTTTTAAGGATGGTCAAAATGTGCTACCGATTTAACTATGCGGGGGAAAGTTTGATCGGCTTCATCATCGAGAAAAAGGGCAATGGAATAAAACGTCTGCTGGAAATAGATGGTGTGCGGAAGGTTCGTGTTGATACTTCAGCGGTCCCCAACTATTTTGAGATTCACGTGATAGGAGTTAACAAATCTGCTTGCGATCAAGTTTGCACAGAAGTGGAGAAGAAATTAGCAGACTTCAGGGCACAAGACAGTCTAACTGCGTTCGATTGTGCCACTCCAACGTTCGATGCTATTAAGCTAAGGAAGTTCCAACGAGAATCAACGGAACCCGTAGTGATTGGAAAGCAACAAAACGAAAGCGAAGAGGAGCGAGACATCTTTACTGTTTCTAAGTTTGTTCGAAGGGATCACAATTCTCAAGAGCCTCAGCAAACCACATTTAATGATATCAGGGTGCAAGATAACTATTTTGATTTCTCAGAGGAAAAACTTGAATCGTTTTTTAACAACGCGTTGAGTAACTTAAATCAATCTGCAAATCCTAAACTGAGTTTCCGAATCAGGCTAGGAAAATCAGTTTTCTGGAGGATCAACAAAAATCAAACAGATGAAAACCTTGTGAAAAAAAAGCTGGTTGCAAACAAATTTTACCTCGAAAAAGAACATGGCTTGAGTCAGGGTTTCGTTCCTAGTTTGAATCCTGAGTATTTCCAACAGGAGTATATAATAAAGCAATTTGAGAAGTTGGGGTTCGAAGACGTTTCAGAGTTGTATGCCAAGCAAGACATGTTTGTAAGCTTCTCACGTACAGGCGATACTTGGTCGAGTATGCGTGTCGTATTAGCCAAAGATCCACAACCAGACAGTGCAAAAAAAGAGGAGCTTATTTCGGCTATCCTCAGTGCTGAAGCAATTGGACAAAGTGTTCTGGACAAAGTTGACAAAAAAGATTTGAAAATGACGTATTTTAAGACGAAGAAATTGCTGAAATTGGGTGACAAAACAAGCAAGCAAACAAGCGATGCTCTGCGAATATTGTATGATGCTTATTGTAGGCTGGCAAGTCTCAAAACCGAAAACTCCGCTCATGATTCGCCGCACAATTCAGGCCAAAATTTGATCGAAGCGTTCGAACAAATCGGTTTTTGTAAAATCACTGCACTGCGCGAGGCTCCTCTTGATTGGCGGGCAAGTTTACTTCTCGAAGCCAAGCATTATCTACCGGAGGGCCTCCAGGTTCTGAGCGAATGCTGGGATCAATGCAGCTCCACCGAGGACTCGTACTATGACTTCTCTAAGGAGTTTTCGGTAGGAGAGCTGGAAAGTGAATTGGAAGAGAGGTTGAAAGTGAATTGTATAAAACGGATATTGGAAACGAGCTATTGGGTGAACGAGATTAGATCCGATGACAAGGACGAAGACTGCCGCGAGTTAATCCGTGTGAAGGTGATTCCAACCTTTTTGATTACTTTCTGGGGATAATATATAAAAGCTAAATGGCAATTTAAAATTTTCATAATTCAGAAGATGGACAGAAGAACAAAAAATGAACAAACAATTTTTTGGTTATAATAAGGGACAGATTTAGGACGCTTTTTCCCCTCAGCACCGAAACCCAAAATTTGGTAGACTAAACATTTTTTTGAAGAACTCCCGAGTAGTATATGAGTGAGGGAGAGTGGGAGGGGGGGGGGGGGGGGGCGTTGGGTGCGGACCCCCATGTATTAACATAGGCTGTAGAGTATCCGGTCCGCAGGCTATGTATTAAGATAGGTTATAGATTTTCCAATGTATTAGGATAGGGAATAGGTTTCCCAATGTATTAAGATACGAGGTTTCAGATGGTAAGTTTCAGAAACATTTTTGGCGCCCGAATTTTTTGAGCTCGATTTTGCCGATACTTGCGTTTCTTAGCTAACTTCTACGATTTGTGATATGTAAGGACTATCATGTCTTACAAAAGTTCGGTATGGTAAGTTTCAGAAAAATTTTTAAAATTTTTTTTAAGTTTTACTTGCAAATACATTTTTATCTTGAAAAAACAATTTTTTATTAAAAGTTGAAACTTTTTTTTTGGATGGTAGGTTTCAGATGGTAAGTTTCGACGAAAATTAAGTTTCGATTTAGTGTATGGGATCATAAACTAATATATCACGGAATATTTTTTTTCTCGAAAGAATCTTAAATTCTTATTTCATGTTATTTATTTTCCCTCAGGTTATCTGGGGAAAATTGTCAAGAGGGGATTATCTTTGACAGGTTAGTTATTCCGCTCCACGGGATATCAGGGGAATCTTGACAGCTCCTCACGGTTGATTACTTTTATATCCTACCTAATCTTTTTTCCGCACGTTATCTGGAGAACGGATGACAGGTTCATTACACTTGTTAATTTTATGACTTATTTTATCTTTTTTCACATAATTATCTCACTTATTTTTACCTCAACTGGTTTATTTATTCTGTCATATTTCTTGCTACGATTCATTTCAAATCTCTTTTATCACTTGGTCTTTAATCTTTAAAAAAGTCTTTGAAATTTCCAAATTTTCCAAAAACTTATCATTCAAATTTATCAATTGCTCTGCCACGGTAAAAGTTTACTCTGAGAAAAACATAGTATCATATTTTTTTTGTATCTGATAATTTTGCGTAATAATGTTTCCATCTTTCTCAGAGTAAACTTTTAAGAAAAATATACAATTTACTAGAAATTGGTCATTTTTCGTAAATTTATCTACGTACAATTTTCGTAAATTCATCTACTCTATCGTTAAATCTTTCAATTGGGGGACTACAACATCCATATTCCATCATCATTCTCCGTATTTCATCAAAGGGTTAGTTGCTAAGATGCTTTTCGTAAAAAATCTAAGGAATTTAAAAAGTTAAATTACATAAATAATCAAACAATTCACTACATTGTATAGTAAAATTACTGCAAAAATTTACACTTACAAATAAAAAATTCACTTTTACATAAAATTACTGATAAAATTCAAAACATACACATCATGAACTTTATTCAAGTTCTTCTGGAAGAGTTTAAAAAGGAGAAATGCTGAATAAATTGCGTAAAAACCACACAAATTATTAGTCTTTTGTAGCTTTCGAGGAACCATTCGTCGAAACTTTTTCGTCAAAAAGGGGTAAGTTGATCTCTTTCTTCCCAAAGAATCTGCAAAGTAGTAGCTTTTATTCATTCGAGCAATCATAATCCAGTGTTCTCCTCTATCATTGCTTGGGGCTGAGTTAATAATTGCAAAAGAGTTTTTTGTTAGTTGAGGTACTGTATCAGAAGGGTATGATCCCATGTACTTGAACCTGAGCTCTGGAATTCTTTCAATAATTTGCAAAATTGAAATGTTATCCATCTTTGCAATTGTAGGCTGATTTACAGCTAAAAATGAAATCGATAGTTTGATAGTGTACTTTAGGTTAAAAAAAGAGGAAGAATATTGACTTACACACATTTAGGAATTGAATCAACAAAGTCCCATACACAAGCCTTATATAGTGGGCAAAGTTTATTGAATACTGTTTTACAGTCTAGGTTGAAGAAGTGCCTCGGGTTTTCAACTAAACAGCATTCCTTCTCTATTTTTTCTGGAGCTTTAGGTCTGAAGAAAAACAATATAGATAGTACAGAGATAATAACAAAGAAAAGTCCCAAAAAAGTTACAATATTTTTATAGAAACCTGAAAATTCAAAAAAATTAAACATTTTTAGCGACTGTTCCGAATTTGTCAATTTGAATATTTGATAGCCTTTCTCCCAAGACTATCACTTCCGTTACTTGCTCCAAGGGAAATTGGAAAAACATTTCTAATCTCAAGCTTTTTCCACTAAGTTCTGGATAATGCAAGTGTTCAGCGGCATCCTGTAGTGAAGTCAAGTCGAAAACTAGAATATAGTGATTTTGAAAATCTTCCATAGGAAGAGCTGGAAAATCTTCGTTAAACTGCATTGCTTTCATTGTTGTAACATAGGGTCGACAAGGAGAAGTTGTATCTAATGAAATAATTGCTCTTCCACCCCGAATAATTCTAAGCTCTCTCAAATGAAATTGTTGATAATTGAAAGGATTTTTATAAAAAGATCCCGCAACAGCCGAATTTGTATTCATTGCAACAGCTATCCTTCTGATTGGGGCATTATTGAAAACATTTTCCTGAATAAACTGGTTTTGACGAGATGGAATGATAAAGGTTCTTGCTATAGTTTCCATGTAATTGTAATGAGCAGGTTCCCTTTCCAGATTCCATTGCAAATATTGATGATTAAGTTCAGCTACTAAAATTCTTCTTGTAAACAGTGAACAATCAACTATTTTCAGACTGACATTTGGATTATCAGATAACATGTAAAAATTAGGTCTAGCTCGAATAAGTTTAATTCGAACTTTGGTATTTGGTAGCAACAGTTTTTCGCAAGTAAACAAATCAATGGCGAGCCTTCCATAGAGTGAAAAAATAATCCCTGTTCCCAAGGAATTTGCTCTATCAGTGAATGGATACATATCAAATGCATCAGGATTTTCTTCAAAACTGTATCCATGACAAGCAAGAATTCCTTTATTACTCACTGCTGACGAGTTGAATTCGTTCGATATCTGTGCCTTATAAGGATATAACCCATTGGCATTGTAAACCATTGTATTGTTAAAATAAACTTCACAGTTGGAGAATAGAGAATGTAGTAGATTATTTACATAAGTTAAGTAAGTTTGTGGTTCCTCATCTGAATCTTCCTCCGATTTTGCTTTATGTTCTGCTTTTTCTTTTTTGAAAGCATCAAACAATCTTCCTTTGAATAGTTGAAGCTTTAAGCTAAGATGGGTATCACGCAAATCCAAGTAGAGATTACGATCCGTTTCAAATTCAAACTCAATACTGCTTTCATCCAGAGAAGTACTGGGGAATACTTCGTGTGTGTAAGATGACATAATTGTTTCCAAAACTGGGACTTTATCAAAATTTCCAAAGAAGAATTTGTAAACGCTCCGTACCGAAAATGACTACTTTGATTTACACTCGTTTTATCTTGTCAAAAATGTCTTTGCGAGAGCGACTGATTTTTGAACTACTCTTTTGGGAAATGGTACTTCTTGTTCTACGCTTGGATTTCTTTTTTCCACCCCCAGCTGTTTTCGAACAGTTTTTGTTCCATCTTTTGCAAACGTTTTGAGTTTTTTTCGTCCACTGACAACTTCTCCAATCTCTGGAGCGGCAATTTCAAATAAATCTGCTCCGATTCTTTTTGCAGCTGGGACTTTATATTTTTTAATGAAGGGAATTGCAGTTCTCCCAAGAGTTTGTGCAAGAGCACCAAAACCTCTTCCACGCTGCCTTGCATGTCCACGAAAAATAGGAAAATTAGCTGAACTTTGAGCAACCATTTCGTATGAAGTTTAAATCAAAAATGATTATCCGAAATCTTGCGATACAAGAGGACAACTCGTGTAATTCCTACTGACACAAAAGGAATTTTTTCACCTGTAGTATCCCTTAGTTCTATTTTTATGCTGTGGAAAGAGTTTTTTAATAATTTTTTAAATTGTAGATTTGTGAAGGATTGATAGTTCATGTACTGTCTTGTAGATATTATGTCTCCATTTTTTACTTTGGAAATGACAGGAATACAACGCAGTAATGGAGTTTTTGTATCGCCTACTATATTATATTCTATAATATCACTATAAATCATTAAGGAATGTATTCTTATAATGTCGTAAGAATACTGAGGATAATGTGGTCCTTTTCCTTTCATTATAACACCTGTCTGATTTTGTTCTAAATCACAACCAAAAATGTGACTCAAATCAGCACTTTGAATTATAAACACTGATTGATCCTCAGGTAAATGAATGGCAACTTTTTGTGTAATCTTATCTACTGATACATAAATTCCGTTATATTCATATTTTTGTGCGCCTATACGTTTTCCAACTTTGTCATTCATGGCTACAACTATATCAACAATACTTGGATACAATCCAGGTTCAACATGCATCGGTTGAATCTTTCTTTTTTCCTCAGGACTTTCTCGTCCATCTACGAAAGTAAACTTTCCCTCTGTAACGTTTTGGTACAAAGAAGGGTACGATATTTCTGAAATAGCAACCTCCCATTCTCCTTTTAGATGTCTTTGTTCCGGTAGAAAATTTGTAAAGGAACTAAGACTGTTATTCGGATAACAATTAAAAGAAGCATTAGAAAAGAAGCATTAGTAAAAGAATCCATGACAACTGATCGATAGAAACTCAATTTAAAAAATGACTTACCACTAATCTGAACATTTTCTCAGCTCTTTTTCATAAAATTTTCCCAGAATTTCTTCTTTTTCGAGATCTTTGATGATGTATGTTGGAGGTTTTTTTGTAGATATTGCCGAAATTTCAAAAATTTCATCTGTAAACTGTGGCTTGTATCCTTTTCGGAACGGA